GAATCCACTTCGTGCATTTTTTAAAGAAGTAAATGCTTCGAGAGTTAAGATAAAATGCTCTATTGAAAGTTATAAAATACCTAAAGTAAATGGAGATGTAGTTACTACTTCCATTGTTAAATATAGGTTTGAGAAAAATGAAGTAATTTCTGCACCATTCAGCAATTCAACTGGCAGTTCTAAGAAAAAATATTCCAAAATATAAGCGTAAAGCTCATACAAATTTCTCTCAAAATAAAAAAATTGCTCAACACACGAAACATTTTCCGATTGCTGTAAGTTTATCTTGTGAAGAACGAATATTTGTTTTTTTCTTCGGACCTTAACAAAGCTTTTTGCTTTTTTTTTAGAATTCATTTTGCCATCATTTGATGTTCTTAACACAATTCTAGAAAGCAGAATTCCATTAATTCATGTTTTGCAATCAATGATTTATGATCTGTTTAAAGACATTTTATCAAAGTTTGTAAAACCAGTCTGTGTTTTGTCTTGTAATTCTATATATGATGTGATTTATGGTGAAATAGAAAATCAAAAGAAAGATGAAGATTTGGTAATAGGAGCTGCAACTACAAAAGTAGTGGAAAGGAGTCAAAAGAAGACAAAAATAAGTTTCATCTTCATGTTAGAAGTTACTTCTGTTGAGTATGTGATTACATACTACATAAATTTCCAGTCAACGATGAAGTGATTTTGCATGCTAAAGTTTGTGATGTTTCTGCTCTAGCAAATGCATCTTTTTCTGATATAAGGTACTTTTTGAACAGATTTTCTGTGTTACTTCATTTAGTCATGATGATGATGATATTGATGTTGCTACTGATATACTGCAGTCGCAATTTTGCAGTTTACAATTAGAAAACTTGGATGAAGTTATAAAATCAGTTAGGACTGACACCCAGTGGAGTTTAATTGGGAAACTGAAAGGTGCTGATGGAATTTTAAAATATAGTGAACTGTCTAGAATTATGTTGGCCATCTTGACAGTTCCCCATAGTAATGCGGAGTGCGAGAGGATTTTCAGTGTTGTTGCGAAAACGAGGACTAAATTTAGATCTAATATTAGCGATAACACATTAGAAAAAATTTTATTAGCGAAAGCAGGCCTACATGGCAATTGCTATGAACAAAATTATGAAGTTTCTTTCTTAACGAAAGCAAAATCTGCCACTGTTCATAACATTTGTACGAAAACTGATTAAAGTGTCTTTTTTTTTTTTAAACGATGCAAGTAATAAAAATGTTTTTTATGTCTAAGGTATTTTTTTGTGTTGCTTGCATTTAAGACTTAGTAACTATTTAAAGTTAATTCATTATTAAAAACTCTATTTTTATCATTTAAAAAGTCTTTTTAACATTGTAAAAAATCTCCTGATTTTTGAGTGTCATAGGTTGTCAAGTATGAAAGCTCTATCCGGTGCATTAAAGTTGTGCTTTGGGGCGAAATGTTTGAAAGACTACAGTAGGCTTCAATTAAAAATCCCATCAACAAAAGCCCACCGAAACACTCCAAGAGCTCACCACGGATATTGAAAGGCTGTCTCACCTCACCTTTACGTTGTGCCCGAGAGAAACAAGGAAAATACTGTCCCTGCAGTACTTCGCCGATGGCATTTGGGATTCAGAAATACAGAAGGCTCTGAGAATGGCAGATGTGAAGGATTTAAAAAGTGCTCTAGTATATGCCATGAAATTCGAGGCAGTGCAGCAAGGAACTCTTAAAGACTGCCACCCAAATCAGAGCTGCTGAAATCGAGGAGCCAGTGGATCAAATCATTGCTCGTCTAGACGATTTAACTAGACAACTCAATGCCTTGAGATTCAATATTGGTGACAAGAAACTGACCATAAAGTGCCTGCAGCTGCGGTGCTGAGGGGCAAATACGAAGAAACTACAGAACACCCCAGGGCACAGATGTTAAGACCCAGCCTATCAAGAAAGAAGGAAAATAATTTGTGGCCATCTTGTGGGGCGGAGGTTGCCTGATGAAAAGCCCCAATTTAAAGCACTTCAGATTTCTGCAATGAGTGGCGGCAGTAATAAACTTTTCATCATGGGACAGACACATCAATGGAGTTCCTTGTAATATAACCATCAATACAGGAGTCAATGTTACCATCAATGAGAAAGATGTGGCTCAACAATTGAAAAGCAAACTCTTGAACTCATGTGGACGCCACCTTGTGTTACCCTCCAGACTGTGTAGGGCGAGAAGATCAACATCGATGGAAAAGTAAACGTTAACATCAAGTTTGGAAGTGCCACCTACCATCACACGGTATATGTGACAGAGATTACAGATCCTTGAATACTTGGATTGAACCTTCTAAGAAAATACAATTTTTCTTTGGACTTTAAAAATAACGAACTGCATTCCGATTCTGATGACATAACTGTATTCACAGTTAATTGTGAAGACGTTAAATCTGTCCATCCAGTCATAGCTCAAGACGAAATCACAATACCTGCAAGAACAGAGTTTTTAACCTGGATCCATAGCCAAAAATAGAAATTTCCACTACAGCATCATAGAATATCTCATGAACTGTAATAGCCCAAAAGGAGTACTTGTAGCCTCAGCACTAGTTGACCTATCGCAAACCATTATTCCGGTGAGAGTTGCCAACGTAACTGAAAAGGCAAGCGTTATTAAGAAAGATGAAGTGGTTGCAGCATGTACTCCCATGACCAGCGTTAAATGAGATATTAACACTTCAGAATCCATGTCTTCAAGAGCATTACATCAGAGTTATTGCAGACTGTGCAATTAAATGATGAAGATAGGAATGCTGCCAGACGTGCCATTCAAGATCTTCCAAGATGTTTTCTCCTGCTCGTCTTCTGATGTGGGTCAAACCAGTTTGATGCAACATAGAATCTATACCGGTAATCGTCCACCAGTCAAACAACATCGAAGATATCTACTGATTGCTAAACAGGAAGAGGTACAAACACTTTTAAAGGACATGCAAGAAAGCGAAGTCATTGAGGCTTCAGCAAGTCCATGGGCATCTCCCATCGTCCTCATCAGGAATACAGTTGAACAAGATTTTACGTTGACTATAACTGGTTGAACGAGGTTACTAAGAAAGACAGCTACCTTCTTCCTAGAATTGACGATATTCTGGACATGCTTTCTAGAAGGAAGTGGTTTTCAATGCTTGATCTAAAGAGTGGATATTGGCAGGTAGAGATACAGGAAATCACTTCGGAATAATGAAGACCTTGCAGAGAGTTTGTGAGCGCTTCTACTGGAATAATGCAAAGGATGATATGCAAAAGTGCTGTTGATCATGCGAAGCCTGTGCAGGTCAGAAAGGACCAAGGAAACGCAGCAGAGGCAAGCTGCAACGTAGGTACACCTTTTGAACATATTGCCTTTGACATCTTAGGACTTCTGCCATGAACTGCTGATGGCAACAAATACATCCTCGTTGTCATTGATTACTTCTGAAATGTATCCTATTCCTGATCAAGAGGCTCTTACAATAGCAGAAGTGATGATACAGCAATGGATTTCCAGGTTCGGAGTGCCTCTTCAGTTACATTCCGATCAGGGAAAGAATTTTGCCTCAGCTGTAATCAAAGAAGTCTGCAAGTTTCTTGGCATTGACAAAACCCAAATGGCACACATATATCCCGAGTCGGAGAGCATGGTAGAGAGGTTCAATCGAAAAATCCTTAATAACCTCTTATTGGTGGTTTCCAAAAACCAACAGGACTGGGACAAGAAGTTACCACTGTTTTTACTGGCTTACTGCAGTGCTATCCATGAGACTATCGGCTATTCCCCATCTCAGATGCTCTTCGGTCGTGACCTTTGTCTTTCATGTGATCTCTTGTTTGGCCGCTCTCCAGATGCACCTTCATCACCTGAAGAATGGATTTAAGATCTCCAGGCCCTGTTTGAAGTGATGCTCAACTTTGCATGAGAGCGAGTCACTTGGCGATGGAGAAGGTGGAGATCCGATACGACACGAGAGCTACTGAACATCGATTCAAAAAAGGGAGACAAGGTGGGGTTGTGGAATTCGACTCGATGGAAAGGATTCTATCCAAAACTACAGTCACGTTGAGATGGTCCATGCACAGTCCTAAACAGGCTGAACGACGTCAGGGTTCGGATCTGTAAGTCATTGAACTCTGAGCCTAAAGTTGTCCATTACGACGGGTTAGCTCATTACTATGTAGTGTAAATAATTGTATATAGTATAAGAGTCCTTTTTTGTTTCTTGATTTGTTTTAAGTTACTTATTGTAATTATTTTTTATGTTTTTTGTTATTGTAATGTTTATTGTTGTATTTATGTCTTAGTTGTAAGTTTGGCTCCTGTCTAGGGATTGTACTGCTCAGGACATGCAGTCCTTGGGAAGCGTGCAGTGTTATGTTTTTTGTATTTATTTTCCGACGTGCGAGAATGTCTATCGAAATTTCTAAACATATGCTGTTTTTAAAGATTTTTAGCCCAAGTACTTTCGAAACTTGTGTGTGTGTGTGTAAGTGAAAAGAAAAATGCTTATTAGGTGTAATATAAAATGTGAAAGCTTTCAGATTTTTTCTTGTACTAGTATGTATTGTTTGTTTTATAATTTTGTTTTAGCATTTTTAGAACATATATTTTAATATAAGCATTTTTAGAACTAGAAGTATATGTCTATTTTCCAAAGTGTAGTGTACATACCTCCTGCATCGGACTGAGAATATCGGGGTAAATATGCAAATTAAAGTGAAAACAATAAAATAAAGGGGAAACACACAGAACACTCTATATATCTAATAGAATAAAAACTATGTATTTGTATTACGAGTTTGTACTTTTGTGCCATAAAACTTTTGCAATTACAAGTATATGTAGTAGTTAGATTGTAACTAGTGATGTGTAATTTTAATGTTTTGAAACTAATATTTTGCTAATATAATTTATCAGATATATAGATTGCTTTTTATATATTTCTCATATTCCTTCAATTTGACACAATTTCTAAAATTACTTTTGTAGCATCTGGTGGAAAAGTTCCTAGTGCTATTAAAACTAACATCAAGTCTGCAGGAAGTATGCATCCTTATGGAAGGTGAAATTTGTACAGTTATTTTGTAAATGTATTTAAATAAAACAGTGATTTTACTATGGTGATTAAAATGATTGAAACAAACCTCAAACATCTCATCCTAATATTATTAGATTGAATACAAGAATATAGAATGAATTGTCAATGGGGTTTCACTTCACACAAAGGCATATGGAACTCTATGCTTTTACCTGGCAGAAAATCTAATTTATGAAGCAAATTAATATAATTTTTTAGAATTTTTTTTCCCTCTAAATTGAAAGTTCATTTTCTTGTAGTCACATTGTAAAAGTACTGCTAGGTCTTATTGGTGCACTCTAATTGTCACATCTAAAGTTAAATTAAATTCATATTTTAATAATTTTCTTTTTCTAGCAGTTTTTCTTCGAGTTTACGAGTAGCAACGTGTTTAATATTTACTTTTGTTTATGTTGTAAAAAGAAAGATAAGAATTTCTTTTACTGTAAAAAAGTTTTTTTTTTTTTTTTTTAAAAGATTAAATACATTAAATTTTCTCTTTCCCAAATCCCAAGGATTGGTAGCATATTTTATTTTCTGTGTTAACATAATTTTTTTATGGTACCCTTTGCTGGAAAGTGTGAATAATGAAACCCAAAAAATTGTGAGGGTAAGCCTAGTTAAGTTTTGCATTTAAAGATGGAATGTTTTTTGAAGGTCATACGGTCCAACATTCTGTTTCTACAATAAATTAGAAAAAACTGAGATTTGTGTAATTGAATGTTTTTATTCTGATAGTATATTTTGAACATAAAACACTTTATCTGCACTAACAGAAAACGAATTTGAAAAAGAGTTTTAAATTGTTGAATATTTTCAAGAAGAGAGTTAAGCAAATTATTAGTGAATGGCAAAAATAAGGATATATTACTTCCTTTCACTTAGAGAATAATCATGCTGATACTATTGGCAATTTGAGTTGTAGAAAATTCAAACTGTCAAAATTTGAATTGTGTAAATTTACAGAGATGTTAAGGAATGGTTGGAATTTTGGAAACAGTTCGAAAAAATACATACAATCCATGTATTATTGACTCAGTTTCAGTCTTCATTATAATGTTCTCAGGCTAGAAAAGTTGTTGAAAGTTTCCCTCCAACAGGAGAAAATTACCCCAAATATGTGAAGAGCTTATAATCTCATTTTCATTAGGATTATTTATTAGTAGGGGTATATGTTAGAGAGCTGTCAGAGCTAGTTTTGAAAAATGCCTCTTCATATAATTATTCTCAGGATTTATGTATACTTTATAATAACTTTGTGACTCAGATGCTACCACAAACTAAAGTGTTGCTTCAGTTTTTCTCTTAGTTGAATCATGCATGCCTGAAGATTTTCTTAGAGCTTGGCAAAGAAGCCCAAATATTGACCACGGCATCGATCCTCAAGACCAACTCTGTAGTTCACTAAAATTCTTAAAATCTAAAGTTGGGTCTGAAGAGGAGAAAAATTTAGCCATAGCTGGATTTGGACATGAGAATTTAATAAAAAGGAAAAACTGTAAGAAAACTCATGAACAATTTCATACGGCTACTAGCTTGTTGAGCACAAATTCATGCTGTATCATTCATTCAAAAGCTGTATTTTTGTAATGGTAAACATGATTGTTCGAACTGTTTCAAAGTGTATAAAATGAAGTTAGTAAGTAAACAAAAGATTTTTAAGGAAAAAGGATGTTTCTTAATGTTTAAATGCTTTAAAGAAGGTTATTGCTCGGACATATGTTGAAATTTTGCGAGATGTGCTGTTTGTAAGAAGGCTTACGGTGTAATGTGTCCTGAGCTGCCTAATAATAAAATGCAATAGTAAAATCTATTTCCAATAAAGTGCATAAAACAGATGGAAAAGATAAGTCAATCAGTCTGGCTAGTTTTTGTAATTCAAGTTTTGTTGCAGACTTTAAAGATAATTTTGATTGAGAAATTTCTTCCTTAGGCATTATTTGACTCTGGTTCCAAAAATCATATATCAGAAAGGAAACTGCAGTTTTAGGTTTCAAACCTTTGCATCAGCAAAATAATCTCATTCACTCTTTGCAGGAGCTACAACTGGCAAAAAAACTATATAATGTATATAAAATTGAGCTAGGTCGTTTAGATAGTAAATTTTTCTGCAATTTCAATGTTCTTGTCCAAGATGACATATATGATCTCTTCTACCAGCAAGAAATGAACCTTAGATATATATTTATGAACACTGCGATCAGCGACACCGATAGCAGGCAGCCAATTGATGTTCTAATTGGCCTTGACATGGCAAGGAGGCTCTTTACCAGGAAAAGACTAATTTTATCTTGCAGACTAGTTGCTACAGAAGCATATTTGGAAGTGATATTGATAGGGAAAACAAGTTTACTCACTGTTAAGGAAGATACTGTAGCAGTTACTATATTAATGTTTCTGAACAAAGTTACTATCTCCAGTCTTTAGTTCAGTGGTGCTTGGCATTACTGAGCCCACAGAAGCAAAAGCCAAACAAAAGGCAAAAGCCAAAATCTGGATCAAACTGTTCTTTGAAAGAACCATATGAAAAAGGGCATTATAAGGTTGCTCTCCAACCAACCAAGATACAGTGGATGGACAAAAATATGGAAACACCTTGTGAAATGCATGTTTGAAAAGAAAGCTTGATTTTAATGAAATAGGTAGGTGGCGCTGGTGTTTTTGACTACTGACGCCACCTGTACAACTTTGTAAATGTGCTAAACAGTTCACTTGTTGTCGGATTACTGTTATGTGACGTTGTCATTGCATTATGTCAGAGTTAACAGACTTCGAACGTGGGCAAATTGTTGGAGCACATATGATAGGTGCTTCCGTAAGCAAGGTAGCCGAGGTGTTTAGTGTTTCAAGAGGTACTGTATCGAAGATTTATTCCGCATATTTGAAAAGCGGAAAAACATCATCTGCTAAATCACAGCGCGGACGAAAGTGTGTCCTGAGTGATCGTGACAGGCGATCATTAAGGGCAATTGTGACGAAAAATAAGAAGACCACAGCTGCAAAAGTTACTGCTGAAATGAATGTTGTGTTACCGAACCCTGTGAGTACCAAAACAATTAGAAGATAGCTTCATAAACAGGGAATTGCTGGCCGTGCTGCAATTGAGAAGCCATATCAGTGATGCTAATGCCCGTAACAGGAAAAGGTGGTGTTTAAGTCATAAAGCCTGGACTATAGAGCAGTGGAAGCGAGTATATGGTCTGACGAGTCTTCTTTCACATTGTTTCTCACTTCTGGCGGAGTTTACGTCTGGAGAACGCCATCTCAAGCCTATAATACAGACAGCTTGTTGCCAAAAGTGAAACATGGCGGGGGTTTTGTTATGGTTTGGGCAGCTGTATCGTGGTTCTCTGCTAGCCCCATGATAACTGTGTCAGGGCACATGATTGCCAAGACTTATGTGAACATTTTGGCCGATCAAGTTCATCCCATGGTACAAACTTTGTTATCCGATGATGATGGTGTCTTCCAAGACGACAAAGCCCCTGTTCACACAGCTCACATTGTCCAGGACTGGTTTTCTGAGCACGAGGATGAGTCGTCCCATCTCCCCTGGCCACCACAGTCACCAGACATGAATATTATCGAACCTTTGTGGTCTACATTGGAACGGAAAGTGTGTTCTCGTTATCCACCGCCAACATCGTTATCTGAACTTGCTACCGTTTTGCAGGAAGAATGGTATAATATTCCCTTGGCAAACATACAGGAACTGTATTTATCCATTCCAAGAAGACTGCAAGCTGTTTTGGATGCCAACGGGTTTGCTACACCATATTAAGCAAAGAAACATGTTTTTTTAAAGGTGTTTCTATATTTTTGTCCAACCCCTGTATATATAGCTTTAAAACATTTGTAGAATAAAACGAAAAATCTTCAGTCAGAGAATTTGGCTACAGTGTATGGGTTTTTAAGGAATGGCTTTCCCTAGGAACCATTGACGAAATTTCGGACAATGTTTGTGTCTCATGAACATTATCGCATAGATTTGTTAGCAACAGGGGCAACTCAAGTATGTCCAGTTTTTGATGCATTGGACAAACAGATTAACTCTCCCTTTTAAATCACCCTGAACCTAATTCGATAGAATTAATTTTTTTAGTCTTCATTTTGAGGTTTAGAGAACATGATTATAGCATTATTACTGATACTGAAAAGCCTTTTCTGCAAATTAGTTTGAGACCTGAAGATCAAAATTATCTGTGTTTCTTGTGGTGGCATCATAACAAAAAGAATAAGTTGAAGATCGTATGTCACAAAAGAGTCATATTTGGCATAAAAAGTAGCTCTTTAGAAGCTATGCTTGGCTATCATCCACAAAAATATGTGGGAAATTCCAAATACAATTATTAACATACTTTTACGAGGCTTTGGGATGGATAATCTGGTAAGAAATGCAAAATCCGATGTATTATTGATGAAGTTCATCATATAATGGCCTATCAAAAATTTAATTTGCGAGGATGGCAATATACAGGAAACCCGGATCCAGATCAATATACATCCAAACTAGGATTAGTGTGAGATCATAATGATGTACTTAAATTGACCTTGGATTGGTTAGAAAATTATAATTTTGAAACTATATAAAAAATATCTATTCTTTCAGTCATGCATACAGTGTTTGATTCCATTGACTTCATGAGTCCTGCTTTACTGATGATACCCAAACTGCTGTTGCAGAAAAGTAGAAATAGCATGAGATGCTGAAAGCAAAGATGAAACTAAGGATGAACTTTGTCAGCTACAGAAGAGATTCATCATACATTACAGTAGACTTATGCTATATCAACAACATTACTAATAACATAATTCATACTTTTTGTGGTGCTAGTAACAAAGCATATGCTGAAGCTGTATTTGATTGAATGGAGAGCTTAAATGGTATCCACATCCAACTTCTGGCTGCAAAATAAAGACAGGAATTCCTTTTACTGTAAAGAGGTTTGTTTTTTCTTTGGATTTTAATATATTAAATGTTCACTTTGCTGAATTGCACGAATGGTGGTAGCATATTTTATTCCATGTGTTAACAATAAGTAATGAGACATTATATAAAATGCCTAAACTCTTATCCATAGGTTAAAACTGTGCAGAATGATAATCAAAATGCTAATGTAACTATGATGAAGCTGCAAGATAAAGACACTACAATAAAAAAAAAAACAAATCATTTTACATTTTTTTATTAGGGTTTTCCAAAACTGAAGTCATGTTGCTGGAAGAACAATCTGTACTGATTTTTTTCTCCTTAGCACTGAGCATTTCCTTTATTACAAGTTGATCCATTAAAAAAGAATTATGCAACAGGCAAGTGGTCAGTTTCATAGAACCCTTACACACAATCAAACTGGACAATATGAAACGTCTCATACAACGAGACAATAAAATCAAGGCTTGACCTTGTATTAAGAAAAAATAAATTGTGGATTTGTGCATAAGGTTTTTTTTTTATTATTTATTTACTGGCACTTCCATTTATATAACACACATGGAATTTTGAAGAATATTTTTGCTATTACATATAAGTACTGATGAATCATTCGAGTTCTCTCACAGACCAAACACGAGCACTCTAAAAACCATAACAAACAAAATTTAGATTCTTGCATGAATTAAACCACATTACAATAATAAATCTAAAAGCTAACATCGCAATCTCACAATTAGGATCAGTGGTTTTCAAACTCAGTTTCTGTAATCATCTAGGGACAGAAAAGTTAGATGAAAGGTCAAAGATCAAGTTTAAAGACTTAATAAAATCTTTAAAAAATGAAAGTTTTCATTATATACTTTCAGGAAAACCTATTTTCCATGATATCATTTGTATACCACCAAAAGGAATGATGATATGATTGATATTATATTTGCATACTGACTACATCTACAAGATCCTCCACAATCTCTTGAAATAGAGCAGTCTTGAAGAAATACTAAAGTTGCTCTCATATTTGAATAAGGAATCAAGGCAATTTTACTCACGAATTTTTCACTTTGACTTTCCATCATTTGGCACATTGAAAGATTTCAGTGAATTCAGATAAAATATAAATATAATTATAAAAGTATCTGCCCCTCTCCGTCTTCCCAAAACTTGCAATGGCAGAATGAGAAGTGCAATATAAAGAAAATTTGTAAGATTGGAGCCAGTTTTAGCAAAGCATTCATAGCTAATTAAAAATCGTCAAAGCAACTAAAAAATTGAGTGACTAAGATACTTTTCAGTTCTTTTCAAATTTCAACATAAATAAAAATGTAAAAAAACACATGATTAACTTCAGTATTTAATATTTCAATAAGAAAATGACTAAAAATGTTCATACTGCACAGATTTCGATTTTGATAACCAAAAATTAAGTTTACTTTTCTTACATGTTCTACATTTTCAATACTCTTTACATTATTCTGCGTTATTTAGATAGCTTAAACATAACTGTTAAATTTTATAATAAATTTTAGCGGGGTGTTACTACAATGCTAATATTGCTTTTTTCAAAATAAAAATGCATCCCGCTCACGAGAACGAAGAAAGAATATATTAGATATAGAGTCAGAATATAATTGCTTTACCACCTCAGGTGGACGAGTTAACTGTCAAAGAGTGCTTTGATGATGGTGAAATGATCACTCCATCAATAAAAAGCATAAATGATTTTGGACCTAACATGGCATATATATCTAGCGCCAGTAATGAAAAATAAAAAAGTTAGTTCAAAATTATCCCCCCCCCCACCAAAAAACCTAATTATGCTTTTTAACAAAGAAGGTAATTTGTCTGATGAAAATCTTGAGAGTATTTTGGAAAATATGAATCCGCTTGAAATATTTGAAGAATTTTACAAATATATAATAAATGAATAAGAAACGGAAAGATATGTGAAAGTGTGGAAAAAGAAGCCAGAGTTTTCAGTTACAATTGATGAGTTGAAGAGTTTTATTGTTTAAAGTTTATTTTCTCTGGCTACCATGCTTTACATAATGGATGTGATTACTGGTCATTACGTAAGATCTCATGGTACCAATAGTAAAAAATGCAATGTCTCTAAATAAATATTTAGAAATTAAATCTGTGATCCATTTTACCATCAATAATTATGCAACAATTCAAACCGGGCATTCAAGAAAATTAATCATGCATATAAATCACAGTTTTAAAAAATTTGGAATTTTCGATAAGTTTCTGTCCATTGATGAAATTATGATTAGATATTATAGTCATCACTTTTTCAACAATTTCTTAAAGGCAAACCTTACTGTTTTCCAACAAATCATACACCATGTGTGGAGTAAAGGGCTACTGTTATACATAATTTTGTCTTATACTGCGGTGCGGAAAATTTTGACAATACTCCTGAAACTTTGAATGAACCGCATGGAACAAGAGTGGTGGGAAAAAAGTTTGGAAGACATTTGGTGATGTCATCAAGACCAAAGTGATAGACTCTATATGTTTAGATAGCAAAGACAATGTTATAGGTAAAAGACGAAATCAAAGAAGACACCAATTTCAAAAATGTAAGGGAAGTCCTATTATGTTTTGTACAAAATGCACTGTAACACTTTGTACGAAGTGTTTTTGCTATATCACACTAAAATATTGCAATTTTACTCAATAAAAATATAACTAAGGAAGTTTAGATCAGTAAAATAAGATTTTTTTTCTTTTTAATCTTTTTAGTTGGTTTTAATATGGCAAAAAAATCATATTTTTTAACTAAATTCGTAATTTTTTAAACATAAGATCAGAGGGCAATTACTTGTTTTTTTTTTTAATTACCAGAAGTGCCCAGCGATCTATTTATAGATCACTTATTATCTGAACTGCTAATTAAGGTAATTGAATAAAACTTCATAATTACTTTATGATATATGAAATGTAATTTAAAAATATTTTTCAAATTCTCATTAAAAAATAATTTGGGCATTAACGGGTTAAATAAATATTTTGCAGTCTACTACATATTCTTAGAGTAAAATACTTTGAATATTGAGATCCATATAAAATAAAAGTTCTGCAGTCTAAGAAACAGTTTGAAAACCACTGGTGCACATTATTCTAAATTTCATCATTTTGCTTTTCAATTTTTAGTGACCATAAAAGAATTCATGTGTTCTAATATGTAATAGGGTCTACAAGAACATCAGATATCTTAATAATAACAGCATCAAATAATAAATTATCTGCAAGTGATTTTTTAATCATTCAAAAGGCAGAAAGCATATTACAAAACTTTACATGAAATAAATTAACAACAACACTCAGCACATGCCGATTCATGGCATGTATCCAGAGGTAACATGAATCGGAAATAAATAATATAAAAGTAAGTGTTAGAATACCAATAAACATCTCTCAACTGCCAAATGATAAAATATTCTGATTACACACACTGCATACTAAACACTGGATATATACATGTCATCCATTATCAGTCATTTAGTAGTATATTTAAGAAGCCTAAATATTGATCGTGAGTATGCTGCAAATGTGACATAGAGCTTTTTTAAAAATTCCATTTCTATTTTTAGAACATCAGAAATGCTAGTCTATATTTATGAACAAACCGAACTGGCATCAATTTGCAATGAAAATTTCATGAAATTTTCATTATTAACATTAAAAGAAAGAAATACAAGAAACGTTAAAAAATATATCAATTTTAAATTGCTAAAAGATGGTCATTAATTCAAATAATATTTTTAAAACAAGATAAAAATTGTTGATATATGGTTACAAACTGTTTCTGAATTACACCAATCTAGCATAGTCATTTTGGTATAAAGAACTCAAAAACAGAATGGAAGAAAAATAATTGCCATCACGGATCTTCAGTCCACAAGACCCTATTACAGTTTCTTAATACTGTAGAGGTTGTACAGTTCTAGGAGTGCTTGAAAGCATTCACCAAGTCAATCTGGCCAGGCATGACAATATTCCCCGGTGTTGCATAATCTCCAATCATTAAACTGTTGCTGACTGGGAAATGAGTGGTGTTTCCAAGCACAACATGCTGCTGTTGCTGAAAAACAAAAGATTTATACATATAAATTCATATGATCTAATGAAAACAACTTTCATTGTACTTATCCAAATTTTTAAAAAGCTCTGTCAAAAAAAAAAAAAAAAAAAAAAAGATTTTTTTTCCAGTACAAAGAAATCCACATTTCATACTTCTAATAAATATAATAAAACTCAAAGGCATCGATTGAATGTGCGCCAAGGTATAAATTGATACGACAGAACTAACTGCACATTCTGTGCCTGAGCCAGTATCTTGGTCACTTGGCTTTTCCTTTGCCACTCTGCCTCCGTTTCGGAAATACTCCTACAGCAAAAGTGCCGCCTAATAGGTAAGACTAATGATACTAAAGAGCTATGTAGTCTTTTTCAACATTTCAATTTTAAATGTCTCTAAAGTTTTTGATTTATTATTTTTTTTGTGCCCAAGTCAAATAAAATTTTTATTTATTAAACCAAGATTTCATATTTGTTACGACATGATTTTTTATAACTGTGCTAGAAAATTCCATACTCAAAACACTTTATGAAAATGTTCAAAGGTTTTACAAATATCAAAAAAGGGAAAAAAAAATTATGAACAGTTCATAATCTATTTTAGACAAAAGTTCATTTAGGAAATATTTGACGTTTTGGGAAATTACTTGACCGAGGCCGTACCTCTAATCTTGACACTTAGTGGGCTTTCTCATTGAAAAAGAACATGCCAATTTTAAAAAAGAAGCAACTTTAATTTGGCAGGGATGTTTTCAGGGAATTCTGCTTCTGAAGAAAATGGACCTGTAGCAAATTGCCCTCAAAACTGATACTAAAGAGTTACTAAAAACCGACGACAAACCTTATTCTCTACATTTTAAATGGTTTACTAAAATTGAAACGAAGCTGTCTGATAACTTACGCAGTTTTTAAAATATATTTGAACTTACTTGCTGACTCAAGTTTAAAAATTTAGTTCTAGAATGTTTTGATCATGTTAATTAAATTGTTCATCACAATATGTAATGTATTTTCTATGTTCCAAATATACAAATGAATGATAGCATTAAAAAATAATAAAAGCCTCTTTCATTTGAAGTCACAATATATGTGACTTCAAATGAAAGAGGCTTTTATTATTACATATAGTAAATGCATTTTCAAGGGAGGGAGAGAATATATTGGTTGGTAAGTTACGTAAAATATATAAAATTCTAATGTTTAAAAACTATGCTCTTCATGATTATGACAGAATCAATTATTAATTACCTTGTATTCATTCATTCACTAATAACCTTGTATAACTTTTATCTTGAAAAATTATGCTCTTCATTATGATGGAATCATTCACTAATATTGTATTCAATTCGGTATTGAGATCAACATAACATTTTATATGATAAATTGGTATATACACCTAAGAGCCATTACATTATGACCACCCTCTATCTGTAACAATGGGCTTGTCCAGGAACAAAACCACTGCGCATGCGCGGCTGATGTTATAAAGTGCCTACGCATTGTCTTTCCAAACAACTGGTGACATAATAGGAAAAGCAGTTGATTTATCAGACTTCAATAAAGGTCAAATCGTTATGGTTCGGCGATTGGGAATATATGGTGTGTTTAGTGGGCTGCTCACGTGCAGTTCTGAGCACATATTCGAAAGTGGTGTATGGATGGTGAAACAACAAATCGCCAGCCAGTGTTTCATTGACAGCGAATTGATTCCAGATGACAGCGGAGATTGCTATATATTGTTCACCATGACCAAAACGCTACAACAGTGGTGAGCCAGACAGTGTTTCTCAATACACTATGCAGCATACAATGCTGGGTATGTATGTGCCTACGCAACTGAAGGCCAAGGCACGTCCCCACACTGACAACACATCATCGCCAACTGCATCTGCAATGAACCAAAAAACATCTGAATTAGACTTTAGAAAAGAATGGAAGAAAGTTACACCGGTCTGACAAATCCCTTTTCTGGTCCATCACATCGACAGGCATGTACTAATATGCTGATTTCCAAATGAAACCCTGGCTCACAGATGCATAGTTGGAGAGAGAGTTGGCCGGTGGGGGGGGGCTATGGTGTCGGCAATGTTTTCAAGAAACACATTAGAACCCATAATCCCTATAGAACAATCCCTGATGTTTCTGCTCTATATGAACATCATTGCAGACCAGGTTCACCAATTCATGGCAACAGTATTTCTGACAAAGGATGCTGTTTACCAACAGGATAATGCATGTCATAAGGGTCGAATCATCAGGGAGAGGTTCGAGGAATATTCCTCCGTCATGTCTTGGCCTCCAATACAGCAGGGATTCTCAACTGGTGGTACACAAAGAAACAAAGTACTTTTAACTATTAAATTAAAAAATGAATTACCCCAACATCCTGTTTAAATTTTTTCTCTAACACTTGTAAATTTATGCAATCTGAGTTATGTTAAAGGCCAATAGCAACTCGTAGACGTAAGGAAAACAATCAGTTTTTGTTTTCACAAATATTCTTTTAGCCACAGATAAAACAAAATTTGTTACCAATGATAATTTTAAAAGGAGTAATAAAATGGATATTGCATTTAATAGGAAATAAATGTAAGATTCTATAAAAAGAAAATAAGTTAATAAAATATAAAATAAATAATACTCGTTAATTCTTTTAAAGTTGATTGATTTATTAGTATGTCTACACTTCATGTCACCACGATTTCCAGGCTCAAATTGCTTTATTTTCAATTAGAATAAATTTTTACCTTGCTTTGCTGCCTCTAACAGCAGGTATATTGTCTTCTTGTTGCTTTGTATTCCTTAAATCCTTATCACTTCTATCGACACGCACGACATTTCCGAGAAACGAGATTCTAGTCGCACTGGTTTATACGAGAGGCTTCCGAGAAATGTTTCATCTAGCTAGGTGCACATGTCCTGGCTATGAGCAACATTCTGAAACCTTCCCGTAAATGTTCCGTCTGGAGACGTGTTCCGCGTACGTTCAACCAATCAGACAAAAGTTCTGCTTCTGAAGGATCACGGGTAATTTTCAATATGCCGATGGCTCTCGTGAAATCATGGACGGTGGAAATAGATGCTGATTTAATTGAAGAAATACAGAAAAAGCCGTATATATATTGCTGTTTTGTTATAGTTTAACTGCCTACATAATTTTTAAATGTTTATATATTCAGTAAATTTATAATCGTCGAAATTTCAGAGTAGACAATATTTTATAACATGCTATTTCTGATGATTTGTTTACAGATTATTCGCCGTCAAATTTGTCATATTTCGGGCTGATCGTGTGAAAAGAATGTTATTGTTATATAATAGAATTTTTTTTATTAAAATGAATAGTTTTTAAAAATATTTTGTATATGCACAACTTTAGTTTTTGCTAATTACTTTAAAATTGAAATTGCATAATCTTTAAATTTAAAATATCTTTAAATTAAAAAAATCTTTTAAATTGAAATTTATGAATTTATTATTATGAATGATGAAAAACATTTGTACACTGCTCGACATTGAAAATGCAACAAAAAGAACAAGTGGTCAGAAATTTATACAAATTTTAGAGTAGACGCACGTCACTGAGTTATGCGAATGATGTGAAATGTGCAGCTCTCCGACGCACATGAAGTAAGATATAAGGGAAGCAACGTGCAGAATGAGCATTATTCGTGTCTTTTTGTCTGTCAGACGAATTATCGAAGAAAGATGGTTTTTGTCCCGGAGGATACGTGTAATAGGAGAGAATGCCAGGCCGCCGTCAACGAAGGCACTTCCAGCAGATAGACGATTTTACGAGAGGCATGATGATCGGACCGAGAAGGGCGGGTTGGTCCCTACGTCAAATCGCAGCTGATACCCACACGGATGCGAGCACGGTGCATCGGCTATGGCAAACATGGTTGAAACAAGGAAATGTGGGAAGAAGGAAGGATGCAGGTGCAGCCAGAGTGACTTCAGCACGCATGGATCGACGCATCCGCCGACAAGCTGTGGCTGTCCTGCAAGTCACTTGTACCGCGATTCTGCAGCACGTGGAAGATACCCTGGATGTTCCCGTGCCAAACAGAACCATTTGCTGTCGATTGGTTGAACATGGCCTGCACTCACGGCATCCGTTAAGGAGACTGCCATTGACCCCACAGCATAGACACCAACGTTTAAAATGGTGCCGGACTGGAGCGATGTGGATGACAGAATGGCGAAACGCCATGTTCTCAGATGAGTCACGCCTGTTTATCCAGTGACAGTTGCCACATATGTGTGTGGCATGGCATTGATATAGAAACATCTAATCCGGCAGTAACTGTGGAACGCCCCACCACACGACAACGTGGCATAATGGTTTGCGGCACTATTGCCTATGATTCCAGGTCACTATGATGGTCCAACGATACTTGGATAATGTACTGCTACCGGTGGCAATCCCCTACCTTCAGGGGCTGCCTAATGCAATTTTTCAGCAGGATAACGCACGGCCACACAGTGCTCGCATCTGCCAACATGCTCTGCAAGGTATACAGATGCTTCTCTGGCCACTGTACTCTCCTGACCTGTCACCAATCGAACATATGTGGGATGTGATTGGACGCCGTTTGCAGACTCTGCCCCTGCCTCATTCAGAAGACGAACTGTGGCAAATGGTTGAAAGGGAATGGAGAGCCATCCTCCAGGACACCATCCGCACTTTTATTGACTCTATGCCTAGACGTGTTTCTTCGTACATTGCCGTCTGCGGTGGTCCTACATCCTACTGAGCTGACGCCGTTCTCGCACTGTATTCTGACTATCATTTTGAAATAAAGATCACTTATTGCTGCTTGCTGTCTCTGTCTTTTTTCCAAATTTCATCACTTTCTGACCACTCCTTCTTGGTGTTGCATTTTCAATGTCGAGCAGTGTATATACATTCATTAATAAAAATCTTATTCATTACATTAATATTAATAAACATACATCAACTTCTAAACCATCACATCTCTCTTGCTATGTGTAGGTAAATAT